ATATATTTGATGCAACGTAACTTTTTAAAAGCAAAGATCACTTGATCAGAACGACAGAAATAATATATGAACCACAGGATAATTTTCTTGCCAGTGCAACATGCTTTTTAACACCAATTTTAAAACAGCCAGAAGAGCTTCTCCCAAGCCAATTATACTGTTAACGAGCTTGCTCCAGGAGCTAATTAGAGTCCATTAGTAAGCTCACAGTGATTAATAACGCTGACAATTCCTTTGACCAAGGCGCGCTATTAATATACCGCCACATTTTTCCATTAAAAGGCACGGGCACAGAATGTGAATGCCAGCTCAATGTGAACGCCAGGTTTGCCAATGGTGGACTGAGTCGAGAGGAACCACTCGTATCCTGAATACGATACAAAATAAAAACAGGCTTTAGAAATTCGATATTCTTATTTACGCGGGCGGCGGCTCGCTCGAGAGATTTGTTTTTGCGTTTTGCGAGCGGGAGTTAATTTATCGGCAGCTACATAAATATAGTTGTAACTTTTATTTTTACCTGTGACAGGCGGTGGTTGTCCTTTTCGCTAGGTATTTGACACTCGCTTTACAGCAGAAAAGATATGCAATGGCGATTACAGGCGTTAATCACTGGACTGAAAGGGCAAATCTTTGACGAACTGTGCCCGACTCCTTGCACACGTACACTCACAGCGAGCCCGTAGCACCATCCACCCTTCAGCATCAACCCCGAGAGCACCCCTGCTGGCAAGCCCCCGAGTGAGCTATCTTCCTACCCTCATAAGTCTCAACACGTAATGGTCAATGTGATTCTCTAGCTCGGAGACCACGGTAGGCAGGGGTCAAACCAAGGATATGCCCATAGTGCCGCGGTTGGCGTTTCCATATCATGCAACCACATTTAGCGTCTTTTAAAGGTACACTGTCAAGACATGAAATAATGGTTGTGTTTAAGCATTACAACGATGGTTTAATGTGCATTCCTGTTTAATTCTTAAGCACAAGCACTCACCTCATTGTTATTAAAATCGTAAAACTACAGTAATTCCAGGAACACGAGGATCACTAAGCTGTGCTTATGGTATTTACTACTTTCTAAAATTATACAACCCCCCCCCCCCCCATCGTTGTGCACATGGATAAGAAATTACCCCCATTAAAATTTTTAATTGAAATCAAAACGGTGTACCATTCACAAAAATTAGGTGCAATTAATTTTGGGAGACGGTAGGGAGGAGGTTAATTGGAGTTAAGTTGCTGCTGAAAGGATGACGACGATGATGGCGACTGACATTCAGAATAATAATTCCAATCGCAACGCTAACGATCTTCAAGAGATGTGTGGCGCATCACTGAGAACTTTTCACGTCACTCAACCTCTCAATTCGCCAATCATGTGTGCCGCTTGGAAAATTTTAAAACGGCTCAACAAAAAAAAGCTAACTTTTCTCAATCATTAACACGCCTGGCGATGCATCGCTGAAAGTGTCTTGCCCCCGCCAGTCAAAAGGGACGAACCCGCCTCTTTTTGAACACAGTGGTTATGACAACAGCGACTCAGTGAAACAGGACGACCAAAAACGGTAAACAACTAATGTTTATCAATTTCAAGGCTCCTCATAATAAACAACAAAATTACATTAAAAAAAACACATAATAGAAATGGGGCCAATTTTCCCAAAAAGGAACAGTGTGGAAAAATAAAATCTTCAGATATATTTGGGAACATTCTGCCTAAATGGAGAGCTATTAAACTCCCCGTCTAATAATACCAATGTTATTATACTCGGTGTGCTATGAACCCGGCGACCTGAATTGGATTCCTGACCAAGGCTAAAATTAGTGGCGAATGATATACAATTCATTCCTGCCCTCCAACTGACCCTTTCACCAACCTGCACTGCCCAGCATGTTAAGGTATGGCCAGTCAAGCCTTCGTGAATGACTGTGTGAAGAGGCCTTCATCCTGCAAGGGATTGGCAAATGGTTAACTAAACTAACTAAACTTACAGTACAAAATAACAAAGACAAACTTGTTTTTGCAATAAAGCAATATATGCCAGTCATCTGTGAGTTACGCAAGTGTTCGTGAGCACGTACGAAGGCATTTGAAGGGGTAGTTTTGCGAATACCATGCCTTTGCCTCCCTAGTGCTCATCTTTAAACACGGCACCAAACGCTCATGTGAATGTCGAGTACACATTGCCAGCGCCCAGATTACGTGTGCCACTGGTGTCTTTCACGGCCAGGGATCATGTTGGCAAGAGACCTTTGCTCAGTGCGCTAACCACTCTGCCACCGCTCCCCGTAATCATGCACGTTTGAAATGTATGGCTTCACCCATCCACAACATTTGATGAAGTGTCACGATTCAGGGATAGGACACAGCTAAAGAATCTATAAATGTGTGCCTTGTTTAAACTTTCTCGTTTGTATCTGTTTTTCCCAGCTATGTCTTGATGGCATTATCCTAAACATAAAATTTTCTTGTAATTTGCATAATTGTACAATATCATATGCTCACACACACAATCGCATGTGCTTACTGAAGCACAAGAGCTTAAGACTCGATTTAAAAATCGATTCCTACTCCCACGATACATTCATTGCATCTTGCCAGCTAGAATCAATTACTGCTAATTAAGGTTGCACGCTAATGTTACATTTAGACTGATGAAGTGAACAAAACTGTACACACGCTAAAGAAAAAAATAAACAATGCAGCAAAAACAAGACGAAAGAGAATTGATTCTTCAATGGAATTGCCACTCCCAAATCGTTCAAATTCATCCCTAGATACGAATGGAGCAAACAGACACATTCACAGCCCTTTCTCAATCCGCCGCTGGATGAAGGCCTCCCCCACACCATGTCAGTCACGGGGGTTGTTTTACTATACATCGCCACTGCTGGACAGAGGGGGTTGGTGAGGGGGGGATAACCAGAACCAATCAAGATATTAATCGCCGCTCATGCTATCCATTATTGGGACTCAAAAACATGGGTCGCTGGGTTCGTAGCAAAGTGTGCCAACAACCGCGCCAAGACTCCATCGCAAACCGTAACACATAAGAATGTATGTGCATACGGGCATATGTGTGTGTTTAAATGCGAGCTAAAATACAAGTCGGGACAGTGGAGAGCACAATCATCTTTGTCAGTTGGCCATAACACCGGGGGGGGGGGGTTGGTCTATCTCATGACCTTCCGCGAGAGAGCCTGTGACACTTCATGTCACACCTGAGGACAATTATAATTACATTTGCAGCAGCACTATCAGCTGAAATTACAATTACATTTTAATTGCCATTCATTACGCATTACACAATTACAAATGAAGTTGACCCCGGCTCTGCTTCACGTGGCCCCAAAGCACACCTAGCCTAGCACAAAGCGCTGTGGATACATCACCAAACATTTAGTGGCGAGCGGCAAGGCAGCACAGTGGCAACGCTTGCGCCTCGCAGCATGATGGGCCACAGGCTCGCTTCCTAACACCTTTCTGTGCGGAGTTTATATATTGTCTGCTTGTTCTGCATGGGTTTCCCCTGGCTGCTCTGCTTTTTGTCCCAAAGCACCTGATAGGACCACAGTGATGTTATCACCTTTACTCGATTTAAGACCGAAACAAGAAGACTGCTTCACAATTCTGGCCAACTGCCTGATAAAGCCGATTGTAATCACCAGCGAAACGTCGTTCTCAAATTGTAAATTTTGCGAGTTGACTCTCCAACACACTAGTGTGCTGTAGTAGTAGTAACGAATTGGCACGTTTTGTTTACGTGACAAACCCCTTACTAGTTGCCTGTGGCGGGTGGGTTGGTGGCGGGTTAACGACACATTTATATCCACGTGATCTAACCCAAAAACAAACACTGTCATGGAACAAAAATGCAATGCAACTGGTGTTAGGCAAACAATTCAATGCTGAAAAACTTATCTGCAAATTACTCAAATAATATAAACGCCCAGCTTTATCTGTGATATGTTGAACGCTGCACTTCCCATCGTTTTCATGCAGGGGGCGTTGCAAACCTACGCGCTCCGTGCATGGATGACGGAGGCGCACGGACAGACGTTCGATTACGTTGGAATCGATCTGCAGACGGCGGTCTTCTCGCACGGCCAGCAGCTCTCTACGTCGCCTTATCTCGATCCCGCAATCCCAAACAGGTGAAAGTCCGCATCGAACCGAACCCCCAGCAAGGACATCTACTTAACGACGAGAGAAAATTCACACGAAATGTCGTTTTCAATGAAGTCTTCCAGATGTAAAATGTTTTTTTATATATAAACTTTCTCTATCTGTCTATGATGAATATGATGAACGCTTGAGAGAGACAGAGAGAACGAAGCGATTCGGTGTTGATTCCCAGAATCAACTTGGTCCCCACCGACACGACTTTGCCATTTGTTTTGCGACAACGACAATTTCCCATTCTCCCCGAATATGTTATCACAATCAACAAGTCGCAGGGATAGACGTTCCATTACGTTGGTAAGCGCCCCCCCAATATAGAATTAGACATAGCAACATTACCCACCCCTGCAAACCCCCCCCACCGAGTGCAGATACCTGGCAGGACCCACGTGGGTAACCACGCATAATATTAAATACAAATAAACAATAAGCTGCAGACCGTGGCTGTTGTAGCAGTTGTTTAAACTTTTAAACTATTTTTTATTTTACCTGATCAAGCCCACTGGGCTAGATAACTCTTTTTCAGAAGCGATCTGGCTATCACAAATGATAGGTCAATGAAGTGGCTTATCGCGTGGAAATTTATAGCAGCCAAATACTCTGAACGAACAATTATTCCAAATGTGGGGGGAAAAGCCGGAGGACCCGGAGAGAGAAAAAAAAAACCCACACGACCACAGGGAGAGAGACACCGAAAACTCCAAATACACAGACACTGGGGTCGGGATCGAACCCACGACCTCCCGTAGACTGGGCGAGGTGGTTAACATCCCGCCGAGAACGGCGCCCCCTTGTCGTCGCGTGCGCACCAGCTGACCTGCGGCACCAGTCGATGCGGTTCTCCCCCTCACGGCGCTGGCTCCAGTGCTCCCTGGCCAGGCTGCGCATGGCGCTGGCGTACTCGCTGAGCGTCTCGCCATCTGCGCAGTGCTCGCGCCACACCCGCCCAAAGTCCCCCACTGCCGGGAAATGTGGGAGAGAAAGGAACGCAAAAAAGTAAAACAACAGAGAAGTGCATGTACGCGTGTATGCTGAACCGCTTTCGCACGGCACGTAGCCAATCGCGCTAATCGGAGGTGCGGTGGCGGGGGGTGGACAAACAACTGCAGGTTTAGCTCTGGAGACAAAATTGTGTTTTCAAACGCATTTTAGGGCGAGCATGGCATTGCCATCGGAGGGAGATCACTGTTGTTCCGTCGGCGTTGATGTCAACTACACAGGTGAACCAGGTAAATGTTTATTAGGCCGAGTCAACCTAAACGTGGCACAGATCAAGTGCAGATTATAACCTGTTACTGATGTTGTGCATCAGTGCCAGCGGTAATGTAGCGGCTAGCGCGGTGCACTGCGAACCCCGTTACCCAAGTTCGATTCCGACTCACGGCCAACAGCAGTGACAATGATAAGAACCAGTCCTGGGCATCCCCTAGGTCGACTCAGCCTCAAATGAGTAACTGGTGTATAGTGTGTGAACAGCGTCACTCGGGAGACAAAGGTAGCCAGGCGTGGTGCTGGCCACCCACCCCCTCGTGTGCCGTGCTGGCCTTCATAGGTGCTCGCTGACAGCACTTGCTCGAAAAGTCTGTTAAGGCTATACGGGGGACCTTTGCTTTGTATCAGTGGAAGCTGTTTTGTCATCATTCCATAACACGTAAAACTACAAATACACACAGATACATTGGCACAAAGGAGCAATAATGACAAAAACGTTTTAAAAACAGCGAGTCTGCTGAAGGTCAGATTCCAAAACCCTTTCATGGAGGTGAGACAGTGAAAGAAAATCTCTCCTCGAAACATGAATTCAAATATTATTCAAACTTTCGTTTAAAATAAATAAATGTTTCAGTGGTTGTGTTGCCTTTCATGTGGATATATGTGCATGCAGGGTCTGCATTTTACAACCTGAAATGTTGATATGCCTTAATGACAAAAAGTCCTTCAGGTAACATTACAAAACAGGTAAAAATAACATGTGCATATATGTTCAGTTCATTTGTTTTACTCTGAAAAGCCTCTTTCATCATTTCATAATTTATGTAGCAATAAAATTACCCGAGCCTGCTGCCGCTACTCACACGACCACATATGATAGCAAAATGTTTTTTTGTTGTTGTTGTAAAACACAGACGTACTAAGAAACCTGTCTTGTCCAAACCTGTCGACAAAATGAGCACGCATGCACGGGGCAGCCTTAGCACAGTGCCAAACCCACCCCCCCCCTCCACCACCGCTTCCCATCGCCGGCGGCCGTTATCACTCAGAGCCTTACCTGGCGGAGTCAGAGACCTGCACCGCAGCACCAGCTCGCTCGAGTCGGGCAAATTAAAGTGGTCCCGAGCAGCGCCGGCGGGCAGTGGTTGGCTCGCCTCTGTGCCCTCCACGGAGGCCCACTGCATCGTCGGGCCACCGCGGTCGCACATGTAACCCTCCGTGGCGCACCGCGCAAAAGCCGCCTGCTTCACCGGCTAAGGCCGTTGGCACTGGCCCGCCACCGCGGGGTGATCGGGGCGAGCTATCTCGTTGCGCCGCAACACCTGCCTGCACCCAATCACCGAGCGAGGTTGTGGCTTCAGCAGTGTGAAAAAACACACAAGCGTCGACCCCAACGTGGATAGAAAAGTTTTGGGGCGAACGTGCACGCCTTCACCACCACCCCCCCCCCCCCCCCACTGCTTTCGCAGGCGAACAGTGCGGCCATTTAGTGAGAATGATACCGAGGGTTGTGCAAGCAAAGCAGTCTGCAGTAATCAGAGCGGGAGTCATGTGAGGGGCATGAGATTAGCCCAGGAGCAAAAGATTCCAAATCAACAACTAAAAAACCAAGTGAGCTAATCACAAAGTTCAACATTTAAGAGCTGAGGAAGGCCATTGCTACAGAGTGTTCATCTCCTTAAATAGGTAGTCTTCCTTAATGCCCTATTTGCGCAAAAAACATGGCAAAATGCTATTCAGCAAAAAATAATTCGTTGTTTGCACAAAACTTAAAGCGCAACTTATTTTCAGACCTTTGTCTGGTGACAAAACAGCCATTTTCCCGATGCTGTTAGACTTGTGTGGTCCATTATGCAGAATTAAAATTACAGACACGATCAAAGGATAGCACATGATGTACAGACAATTTGTGCCACATAAATTGAGTATCCATTTAAATTAATAAAGTTATCAGCTGATGGAAAACACCAAGGCGTGGTGCATCTCAGTGCAAAGTTGGAATATTTAGTTAGAGACGTAATTTTTGTGTATGAATTGCCTTATTTTGTAGCAATTAAAGGATACGTGGTTATTTTGAAATACTTTACCTATTAAATTACTGCACCACTAAGTGAAAATATAATTTACAATTGCAGTAAACAAGATTTACCCTTACGTCTACATATTGGCGAGCATTTAAACAAATCAGCAAGCAAGCCATCAAGGACAAAAAACACCTTCTTAAGTAGTCAATCCTGTAGGGTTAAATATATATAATTATGCGGCTCCTATGGGATATTTAAATGGCTTATGCTGCCATTGAAAATGCAAAAGAATCATCTACTATTAAAAGAGAATGGACAAACGGGCTTTGTTTAAAGTGTATTTGTGATAGTTCGCTCCCATTACAAAGGATAATGCCTTTGCGTGCCCATTATCACCGCCTATCCTTTCGACTCCCCTGCCATCTCAAGGGCTGCATTGGAGAACAACAAGCCAGTCTCTTCAACCGCCCCTACTGTGTTTAGTTTCTGCCTCGGCAACTCTATACACGAGCCACCGTTATGATCTCCAACGCATCAACAACAACCGCACAGTTACACCGGTTGTGTATATGTGCGACACGGCACACTACCCATTTCTGAGCATTCTGACATCCTCAAACAACACAAGCTGCTGGTTACCGCACTGCTTCCCTTTTATATGCTTGGTTAACTAGTCTTCCCACTAGATCCTATTTTGAAATTGTCGGTAGATATAGACACCAGTCTTCAGCTATGCCTGTGAAAGTCCCAACGTAGAAGATCCCTGGGTTTGATCTCCCACGAAGCTCATGGTCCACCCTAAACCGCATCCGCACAAACCATGGCAGATGCGGATACCTGATGCACAAATGGAAAATTTAAAATTCTGTGGTCATCCAGAACAGACCGTACAATATATAACGACGCAATTCACGATCCGCAAATACAAAGGAGACATCGCAGCGATCCACTCTGCTGCTCCTGACGCGGTTGTCTGGCTTGACCACCGTGTGTGAAATTGTCGTTGTTGTTATGCATCTAAAATAGCCATGCGAAAGAACGAAAAAGCTCTGCCTGTATACTATACATTATAGATGTTTTTTGGTAACCAGAGTTCAATTACCAGCCACTGCTAACCTGTAATAAGTGCCTTCTAACTGGTCTCAACCACCCGTTCCCCCAACATGCGCTAATCAGCGCAGTCAAGTATGGTCATACAACCCCCATGAGCAACATGGTTAAAGAATGCTTGCATTCAGCAGTACATTGACATAAGCGCTGTAAATCATTATTTATTATAGGTGTTTACTTCCCCGCTGTTTTGAGAAACAGTGCCTCAGCCCTTGTGCAACAACATGCAATAAACAGCTTAAGGTATTAAAATGAAAATTATTAATGAAAACATCATCACCGTGGGCCAATTGACACCAAAACAGGGCGGAGCGCTGCTGCCCGCTTACGTGCAGTTCGGCACCCAAGGCAAATTTGGCGACAGGGTAACATAATCGGCAGCATGACGGCTGAAATGTCGCTTTGGCCAAGGCCAGTGGTAGCGTGGTTAGCGCTTGGCAGCACAATCCTCAAACAGAGCGGTGGGCTGTGCTTGAGTGCTTCGCGGCTCGTGCGAAACCGCTGCCGTGAGCAAAATAAGGGTCGGGCAAAACACGAGCCTCCTGCTGCCAAAAAATAAGTCAGCTTTGTTCGCAGCCTCCTCTGAACTGCTCAAATCTCTGGCACTGCCTTCATCAGTGGCGTTTTCATTCGCGACGCATGACTGGCGAGCTGATAAGCCGTATGAAGCGAATACAACCCATAAGGGTGGTTCAATATAATATAATGATGTAATTTACAGCCCTTTCTGTAAATTCACTGCTAGACGAAGTCCTCCCCACGTCGAGTCGGCCACGGGAGTTGTTTGAACACGCTTTACAATGCTGATCAATGCTAGTTGAAGGAGAAGGAGGCGGCGGGGGGGGGGGGGGGCAAAGACCAGTTCAAATATCATTCGCCACTGATGTTAGCCGTGGCTAGCATTTCAACTCGGAACTTGGGTAGCCGGGTTCGTAATGGAGTGCGCTAACTACTGCGCCACATCGCTTTAACATTCCGACACAATTTTTACTTGGGTATCTAAATGTATCTACTGGATCCGCAGTGAAACTCCTCTTATCCGAGATCAGATTGTCTGCTTGGCTATTTAGTCGTGCCCACCCTCTACAAGGGATTTCTTCATGTTGTACACATTTTTCATGGATAAGACAATTGACTTGGAAATGGCGACCAATTAATGCTGTTATCCGCATTTATGCAAGAGTCATTTCAAGTGGTCTCTCGCAAATTCTAAACTTATCCCATTATCCGCATCTTTCTGCAGATAACAGGAGTGACCGAAAAGTGGTAAATTAATCCTATTAGCCATGTTTATCTGTGGATAACTGCACAAACCCCCATAATTTCCACAGGTTAACCCACATAATAGGATTCACCAAGAGTGTTCTCTCAATCACCACCATGAGGAATTCACTGCATTACAAATCAAACATTGTATGCCGATTCCTAAAAAAAAACTGCCAACAATGCTAAGTATGTAATATATATATCCAGGAAGGCCTCACTGAATATCAACATTTCAGCAGGGTCCTGCATTGGGATTCATATTCTTGGGATGTTGGCCAATTCCACATGGGAGTACAACACCATCGCATCCAGTGAAAACCTATACATATCAGGGGATAACTCAAAAGTCTATACAGATGGATTCACATACCCACTGGCTACACGGAGAGTATGATAAAACTGCGTGATCCACAAACTCCTGCATATGTAGAATTGCATTACAACGGTGTGAGTCACCCACAAAGCCTGGCTCAAAAACACGGATACAAATGTTTCGTTGCAATTCGCTGTGTCTCAGGAGTGATGCGCAATGCCGATATCACAGGTTACCCAAACCGTTGTCCGCCAAACAAGCAGAAAACAACAAAATAATGCTGCTCAATATGATGCAATCACACCGAAAGTGTGCCAACATTTCCAGAAATGTCAAGAGATGCGTCACCTAAGGAATTATGTTTAGCTTTCTGTCGCAACGCTGAACAGTAAGTTGAAACAAACAAAAATGCTTTTTTGCAATTAGTTTGATCAAATAACCTCAATAATCGTTGTTTAAATGCTTGGTACTTAAGTGTCAGTTCCCTCTTCAAGAAATTTGGCTTCTTGGAATATACACTAATACTGCATATACAGACTAATACTGCATACATGTGACACTTTATTCAACTAGATGCAAACTCATTTGGACAGCTTTGTCACTTGGGAAGATTGTGACTATGTCACCAGCAATGTGCTTGATCTCATTCGATCTTGGAAGCTAAGCGTGTTTGTTCCTGAGCAGTACTTGAATGGGCGACCACAATGAATACCCGGTGTTATAGACTGTGGAGCTACGTGGCATGAATTATCAGCACAAGGAAATACAGCAAAAAATTCCTTGTACTGTGCTACTATGCTCCTGGCAATTACAAACCCACACTGAACAGCTTGGTGAAGTGAGGTCAAATAACTGTCACGACCAACATGGCGTGGCAAGGGGCCCTCATTCATCACTGGCCTGACAAAGTACGGCAAATATTGGCCCTTCACATAGCACGCTGTAAAAAAATATATATTGTGCACACAATGTGCACACAATGGATGCAATATTCTGGGATTCAATTTGGAGAGACTAATTGTCTACTAGGACAACCCTTTCATCAATCCACTGCTGGACGAAGGTCTCCCCATGCCCTGCAGGTCACCGGTGCTACGAGACCGTACTTTGTTACGCCGGTCGGGATGGGTTGACGACCTAAGATGGAATGCACATTATACATTTTAATTATTATTATATAGAGGCAGAAGTACAACAGAAAGATGCATGTCATGGCACTGCCCCTGCCAAGTGTTTTGGACACGTAGAATAATCGATATAAACATAGCGTAACATTCAATACAATCGTACATCATCCCGTACAATGTACTCACAATTCGGCATACAGTGAGGGAAAAAAGTATTTGATCCCCTGCTGATTTTGTACGTTTGCCCACTGACAAAGAAATGATCAGTTTATAATTTTAATGGTAGGTTTATTTGAAGTGAGAGACAGAATAACAACAAAATCCAGAAAAACGCATGTCAAAAATGTTATAAATTGATTTGCATTTTAATGAGGGAAATAAGTATTTGACCCCCTCTCAATCAGAAATATTTCTGGCTCCAGGTGTCTTTTATACAGGTAACGAGCTGAGATTAGGAGCACACTCTTAAAGGGAGTGCTCCTAATCTCAGCTTGTTACCCGTATAAAAGACACCTGTCCACAGAAGCAATCAATCAATCAGATTCCAAACTCTCCACCATGGCCAAGACCAAAGAGCTCTC